CCAATTTAAAAACAAAATCTAATGTTGGCTCTTTTTTCGAAGCTCATTTTCGCACCGATAACACAAGCATACTGATAACCAAAACACAATAACTTCACTTCCAACTTCCAATTTATGAAATGTCATGAAAATGTCACTGGACAATTAGACGTTTTTCTGTGGAGATATGTAAAGTGGACCACGACGCTTCGTTTCAGACTTGGGAGAAAAGATCACATCACTGGGTACTATCTGATGAGCCTACTTAAGTCATGAAAAAATTTTTTTGCAGAAGCAAAGTGCCATTTTATTCAAAGGATAACAATGACATGGAAAATTTAAAGCAATACGAAATATTTATGATTGAAGACTTGACCTCTGAGAGCTTCTCCATTCTTTTAAATACCATCAATACATTGTATATAAAAAAGTTGTAATTATAAGCGAAATACCAATGAATCAAAGAAAATTGTTGAAAATGAAAAAAAATCGGAAAAACTTAACGAGCTTCCTTTGCAAAAATCAGCTTAAATAACAATAAAAGCAAAAAATAACAAAATTATTCAAGATTTTCCGCCGCATAAAGCCACAGTGTATAATAAGAAAACTGCAAAGGTCTCTCAAGACCACACAACAACTTGACGTGTGCCTGCCAGCAAAGCAGAGAAATTCACACAACAAAGTTAAAGGAAGAAAGGCCAAAAAAAGTTAAGAAAAAAAAGCAAAAACAAAAACTTTTGCTGAATACCGGTAATACAAAATACTTAATATGTATGCTGCTATGCACCCAACTGTATAGTACTTGCCGCCCACCAACACGTATCACGAGCAACTTAACTGCTTACCGAGTAGTTAGCAAGAAGCACAGTGCCAACTTCTTTTGAATTGCAGCCAACTTTGTGAATACCGGAAATTTTCTTAACATTTTGACATTTACTACACCCAACAGGCCAGGCCGACTAAGGGGAGAATGGGAGAATGTGTGTGCACTGAAAAACTGCTGTGGCACAACTTGAAGCCTGGCGGAGCAACCACACGGCACTGCAAGCGCCGCAATGCCAACCACAAAAGCTTTGCGCTAAGAAATGCTTTACTAACAACTTGCCTTGTGCTACACAAGCAAGGCTTTAAGAGACATGTATATTTATATATATAACTACTTTATACTTTTCGCTTTAACTCGCTGTCTGTCTGCCTTAGCGCTGTGTGGCAACAACTTTTCACGAGACTTCCGTCTCAGCTTGCACGCTCGCTCATAAACTGTGGATAATTTGCCGACGTCGGCATGCCGGTGAATGGCAGGCGTATAGCCGCAACGCCGTCAAAACGGTGAAGAGGAAAACTTTGCATTTCATCAGCAAGCCGTAAGTTGCATAAACAAATTAATGATGTTGCACGGCAAACTTCTCGCCGTTACGAAAGTGGTATGTCAGTAAACCGCAGCTTTATTGGGCTGCGCGCCTTCTTTATGCATTTTGCTGCTGTCTTTATATCGCTGCGCCACCGACACACCGCCGCAGTCGTTACTTGTTGTTGGTGGGCCGGCAAGTATGCTATAATTACTTTTTTTTCGCGCAAAGCAGGCAAAGATAATGAAAAATAGCACCAGCAACTTGCCACATTCATGTTGCATGCCAACTTTTCTGCGCCTGTTTCCGACTTCCTTTTCACTTTAACAAGCAAAAAAAATTGAAAAGGAAATAAGAAAAATAATGTAAAGCAGAAATAATTAATAAAACAACAATAAAAACAAGTTTGAACAACGAGCTCGACGACTTCTTTAAGCAACTTCATACTTGTGCCTGCTTTATGCCAACCAAAGACGTGTGAAAACCGCAGGCAGGGGCGCACAGACGGTGGCAGCGCTTGTTTTTAATTATCTGTCCGTGTTGCATGCAACGCCGGCATAGTGCATTCACCACAATACAGCGATTGTGATGGCGTTCATGACGGCTGTGTTGCATGCGCATGGATTTGTATGCGCTCAAATAGCATGCGGCATACTTATCGGCGCGAATTATAACAAATTTTATTGCCGCGGGCGTTAATTTGTTTTTTGTTGCCGTTATTGTTGTTGCATATTCACGCAATAACAGTGTAAATTATATGAATATCAACGCATTGACTGCTTGCATAAATACATTACTATAATATTGTGTAGCATACATGCAGGCGCACTTGTGCTTGCTTGCGACATCAACAATTCACGCATTGAATTGCATAATTAAAATACACAAGTAATTGTTGTCGCGCAGTTTACCATGAAAATTGTTTTTTTGCGGTTTCACAGGCCGCAAGTGCGCATTTGTGTTGTGTGAAGCGCCTAACAGCATGCTACATGCATGACAATGACGGAGCAAGTGGTGTTAATGAATACAGAGCGACATTTAAATGTGTGGGCGTGCATTGGTATATGCATTGACACGTTCAACCGCCATAAATGCATTTACACATTCGGCGTTGTGGCGCCTAAAACTATGCAGGCTATACATATATATTGCATATTTCAAGCGCAAGCCAACATAGCGGAATGTGAGTAGCTACTTTATTCAATGTCCATAACATTATTTGGTGTTGAATTAAAATTTCTTAAATTATGCTGCATACTTACAGGCGCTTTAACGAATTTATACAAATTTTCAAATTTTTCTGTGAGATTGTAAGTGCCGCTGTTCATAATTCATGTTTTCCATGCCATTGACTTTCGTTGACTTGGCACTTTCATTTAATTCTGCTCTTTTCCTCTTTATCGGCTTTTGAATATTAAGTGAGTGTAGCAGCGTTAAGGCAATGCTTCCGAGTGATGTTCATTTCTTGTTGCTTTTTTGTGTATTTTTGTATTTTAGTTGCTGTTGTCAGCGCTTGCTATTTGCGCACCCCGAAAAGTTGTGTGCTATCTCTAGTAATTTCCCGTCAATCTCGCTCGGCTGTTTATAATATGCATCGAAGTACTTTCATATTGATAAGCAAACAGCGCATTTGGCAAACGAAACACCGCGTAGCACGTTGGAGCAAATGTAGCCACTGAAGTGTAAATGCGCTAAAGTGACAAGCAAAAAAGCAGCAGACGCCAAACAAATAGAACAACAAAATCAACTGTTTTCCGTTCAGTGCCGCCCTTCAGCAGCAAAGCACATACACTGCTTTGTTTATGAGTTGCAATACCGGTCTCTTTCTAACATCTTTTTATGTGTCTATTGCTGCGCCTAAATGTATGCCAAACAGCCAACTCAATCATCTATATTTGTGCGCTTCATTGGCTTTTGCCAGCGAGCTTTGGATGATTTATGTTGCGCAATCACGGTGTTGATTTGGTTTTGAGCCTTTGGCCTTAAAAAATAAAAATTTCTCGTGAGTATTATAAATCATGCTCCTAAAAGCTTATAACTTTAATGGGTTTCTATTGATTTGCGAATATAATTTGACGATGTTTTTTTTTTTTTTTAAAGAAATTCCCACGTTTCTATAGCTCTGAGCCTATTTATGTTCATAAAGCGTAGCACAGTTTTATTTAAAATCCAAAAATTCCTTCATATTTATTTTGTTTATTTTTTATATGATGGCAACTCTTTACAATAATTATGAGAAGAATAGTATCTACACAAGCCGAGTTAAATTACTAGAAAATTTACTATATTAAGACTATACATACTATTATACATTATATATGTAAAATCTAATCATAAAACACGTATTAGATGTAAAGGCGATTTTGTATGTATGTATTTACTTCAACAAAGTTTTACATTTTATAAGAAACTGAAGAAAGTAGATAACCTATTAGGAAATAAATTTCTATATTTTCACTTTAAATAACTGCCAAACTGGAATAATTTACATGTTTCCTCAAAAATCTCAGTTTTTTATTGGGTAACTAATCCGACTGATTCCCTTTAAAACAATGGTTAACTCGTTCAAAACTGTTTCCTCAGCAACCTGTTCAGTAAGATTGCTGTGAAATAAAGCTTTTAAACAAAAGAATTATTTGTAGTAATTTTAGATTTGATTTAAAGAATGTAAATGTATCAATCGAAAAATTAAAACAACCTGCAAATCGATCTCATAAAATATTATTTCAATAAAATAAAGAAAACTATATTCACACATATCCCTCAATTATTCATATATTTGCTATTTTCACACATTATTTATTAAATAATTGCAAAACCAGTACGTGAAATAGTAACCGACACTTTTATTTGTTGAAAATACATAATAAACGCCAAAAAGTAGGCAATTTTTTTCATATTTCACATGAATAACTAATTTGTACATGCTTTTTAGCTGCGCTTCACAACAATTGATCACTGTAAGTAAAAAAATAATATAAATTATGCAAAGCCTACCAATCGGCGCCATACAATATGCAATGAAAAGCCATAAATATCAGCAAATAAATTATTGATATTGAAAGGAATACATGAAAATAATTTAAAAATGGAATGAAAATTGCCAAATACAGTGAATGCGCTCTACTTTTAATTCCTAATTGAAATACACTAATGGAATCAATGTCATTACTTGATAAATAATAAATATAATAATAATAATMAAAACTAGGTTGACCTACACAATCAAAAAACTTTTCATAACTCTATAGATACAAAATTTTTTGCAACATTTCAAACTTTTCTATAAATTCAAAAAACTTTGTATTTCCTCGGCACCTTGACACTAATGAGTGCCAGCGCTGTCTCCGTCTATCGCAAAATCCTAAAGGTATGGTAAGAAAACGCAGAGATGCCTAGCTTAAATCTTAGCAAGCAACAATTTATTCAAGGTACCATCGGAGGTGTGGAGGCTGTTTCTAAACTTTTCCACCTTCGAACTAAATCCTCTCAGCACTTGATTAATCAAAAAAACTTCCGTCAATGGATTGCTGAAAGTTGCATCAGAGCAAAGATGGATTTTGTTGCGCGATATTTTTACTCTGTTGCACATATATGTAATTTGTAGTATATAAGTTTGTATATAAGTTGTTCGTATTTATTTTAATTGCAAAACTTTTCTCCGCTTTGCAGAAGACTGTTAAACCATCACCAACATCGCCGTTGTCATCATCATCAGCGAGTCTCTCAGCAACGCCAAAAGACGAAATTTACATTGACGATGAGAGCATTGAGGGTTCAGGCGGTCGTGGCGGGGTAAGTTGTGTTTATGGCTGGTACTTTTTTATATTTGTTAGTGACATATTTAAATGTCTTCAGAATTTGTTGATGATCTTTAATGAGGTGCTGATGGAATTTGGGCTATGTCGAAGAAATTTAGTAATTTTTTTATATTATTGAAATGTAGTTGGAAAAAATTACCTATTTTTAAAATCGTAATGCAATAATACCTCAAACTGTGGAGAGCGCTATTTATATTTGTTGTGAAACTTATGGAGAACTGTTTTAAAACCAAAAATATGTAGACGCCTAAAGGTATGCCTCCGAAGAGAGAAATTCGATAATCAAAATATTAAGGCTTAAAAACTTTTTCAATAATGATTATTGATTATTTTTTGCGAAACTTGGGTAGAAAGAATTTTATAACTAAAACATTTTAAAATATATATATTGATAACTAGCACATTTTAAAATATTTATTTTATACACTATTTTTTGTTTCACCATATGTGGAACTTGGCAGAACTGTTTTTATGACGAAAGGGTGTGACACATAAAAGCATGGAGTTTAGATGCCATACTCCACGGAAAAGCAAAAAGAAGTATATCCTGAAATCCTGAAATTAAATTTTTTAAAAAGAACTGTGTCTTTATTAATCAATTGTATTCATTAATTTGTTGCCCAAAAGCAAATTTAAATAAGTATACGCTACTTAAGCTTCAAAGATTTTAATCGAAAAAATGTTGACTGCCAAAGGTAGGCTTTAACGACAGAGGAACCGAGTTATACAATGATATTTCCACTTTGAGTTGAATATTTACCCGAAATAGCCGAGTATAAACCTTTGAAGCTGAACTCCAAAACTCCTATACCTATTTCAGTATATTTATATATACATATGTAAAAAACAAATCGGGCAGTAAGCCATTAACTCAGCTTCATCTAACCACTTCTTCAGTAATGCATACATACTTCAGTACACCCACATTCATATTTCCTCTTCATTCCATATTTATTTGTAACATAAATACTTATCAGCCAAAATGTATGCTACACTACGTATAAAAAGCATGTTCAATTCAAATTGCAATTGGCGCTTGGCAGTTCGGAGTTCTTAATGTACGCTTGTACTCAATTCCAACAAACTCAACCTTCTTTTACCTTCTCTGATGCATGCAAACAGTTCTTGTACACTGTGGTACATGCATGCATAATACATATTTGGCTAAATACGTGTGTATTTCAGAGTGTTGTGGGTACCTGCATATGCCATAAAATACAGTTGTTGTCTTGCATGCGAGACATACTAAATATTTACTTGTCGTGTTAGGAAATGTTGCAATATTTCAAAAATACCAAATGAATATTCATTTAAACTGCGCTCGCATGTACAGTTACATGGCAAAATGTCTACGAAATATTATAAATATTAGATACTTGGCTTGGACTACTAATAACATCCGTATGCGATAAAGTCAATTAGACATGTTGCATTAGACGAAATGTGGGCTCGATTGCAAGCAATATGGCCTTAAATTTACTTTTCCAGCAGCGAATCATTGAAAATTTGAGCGAGTTTAATGATTTATTACAACAATTTTTTCATTTAATTTAATTTGGCGCACAAAAAACTATATAAAACTCTGATTTTCCACCATCTAATTTCGAAAACTTAAATTTGATTGCTTAACTCAAGACGCTAGCTTACACCTAGTATAACAACTACCACAAATTTAATTCTTTGTCAACGCATTAGCGACGCAATGCTCACTACTGTGCGCAATTTCAACTGCCTGAAACATAACGCTACACAAAGCACGATTTTATGCACTGCCAATTGCAGGAGGGTGCCTCTTTATCGACCATCATCACTTCAGAAACCTTTTACTCTACATCGTTTTATTACCAGTTATTCCCTTACTTCCTCTTCGCTATTTTATTGCTTGGTTTTACGCCTTCCTATCTTTCATTGTTTTAACTTTTGCTCCCATTGGCATCATTCACTGCACGGCAATCACAATTTAACTAGACCATGTGCCAGTTTCCTCCTGCAACATCCTGAGATAATTTTTAATGGCTCACCAAATGGTGGCCAGTGCAAAGAATCACTCTTGTGTATCAGACATGCTGTTTCCAGTGGTTGGCGAGGCACTTTTAATGTGCGCGAGTGCACCCGAGTGTGCGCTAGCTAGCTGAGAGAGGAGTGGAGACTGAGTTTCTTTGTTGGAAACCTTTCATTGCTGAGTTATTGGCTGTGGGCCAACGAGGCTGGACTTAAATAAACTACATGTACACGCTTGAAAATTTGGATTACGGAGAAAAGTGTTTTACAGTTGTTTTCGGTGTCTGAAATTAGTATTTTAAATTAAAGCAGGGTTGCATTTAAACCAAAATTTTTGATAAAAAATTAAAATTTTATGGTTTGCTAACTTTTTGTGTGGAAAATTACCCTATTCAAGAGGTGGTGAATATCAATGAAACTCACCAAGGTTCGTGGTGAATTCAAAAAAAAAAGCAGTTTGTAAGCGAATATAATATTATAAAAGAGCTTAAGTCGACTTAATAAATTTCTAACAGATTGATTTGAGACGCGAAGTTGCTATTTACATAAATATAATATTTCTAAGAAAACATAAATATAGTATTTGAATTCCTCAAATACTGCATGGCTTAAACGGAAATATTTTGCGTAAATTTAAATTGACTGAGTGGGTGTATAGATGTGAGTTGATCTTCCGTGATTGAAATTAGCTTTGGCAATTAAAGCAGGGTTGCATTTAAACAAAATGTTTAATAAAAAAAAAGATTGTCTGGTTTTCTGGGTATTTTTTATAATGTTTTTTTTTAAACAGACCATATTCAAAGTGTGGTGAATATCGATGAAACTCACCACACTTCGTGGTGAGTTTAATAAACAGCACAAATGGGTTTTCTGACATAGTAGTTTCTATTCAAATGTGTCCACTTTCAGTGTTGATGAATATTCACCAAGTTTAACTCAATTTTTGCAGGATTTGCCAAATATAACACGATTTATTAAAGAATAAAATAAAATCGCATTAATAAGTTAAGTGTCTTCTTTTCGAGCCTCGAATCAAAGGTTTGTATTTAATATATTTCCCGAATAAATCGCTGTACCTATACGCAAATATTTTTAGTAAGTTTAAATTTACTTAAAATGAGATATTCATATCAACGAGTTCGATACTCTAACTATTTATTTCTAAGATAACATTAATATGTGAACACTGCTTAAAAATATGTCAAACCATTTTAATTTAAGTAAAAAAAGTAAAAATGCTCAAATAATTCGAGACTCGAAGATGAAAAGCATTCAATTCTAGTGTAAATAAAATGGAATATTATATACAAACACTTACGGCTGTTATTAAAAAAAAATTTTTTTTTTAACACAATGTGCAATTTTTGTATGGAAAAGTATTCGTTTACCCATAAAATATATTTTTTACCAAAAAAGTTTCAAAGAACAAATTTGTTTCCTTAAAAAAAAAACAAATTAACAAAATAACCTTACCAAAAAATTAATTTTACATAAAAAACCAATAAAAATACTAAAAGCGAGTATTTTTGATCCCACTCCAATCAAAAAAATCAATTTACCACAGATCCTATATCGCACTCGGTCAATTGCGTTCGACCACCAGCTTTCAGAAAATGACAAAAAATCTAAATGAAAAGTCTAACACTCGCGACGCGCTCTTCACGCATTAAGGTCAAACAAAATCCACTCGAACCATCATGGCTTTATTGCTTCACCACTCGTAGCGCACTACAATTCAGGCTTTCGCCAAAGCGAAAAAAACGGTTTAAAACAAAAACAAAATTCTTCGAAAAAGTAATTTAATTAAATTGCATGTCATGTTTTCCCAACAGACGCGCCAGCAGCAACAGCAACGACAACTATTCGGTTTACCATCAGCAACGGTTTGACTTTGAGTTACGGTTATTTTTTATTTTTGTTGTTTTTGCTGTTTGTTCCGTTTGTTGTCAGTTCAAAATTAATTTAGTGGCCTCTCGCAAAACGCGTAGCATCAACACGCGCTGTCTGCTGCCCCACTTCGGCTGACACCGGGCGCTGCATGTGCCACAAAATGAAAACTAGCATAGGACTAGCAGTTCCGGACTGTTGACATCGTACATATGTATGTACAAACTTATATTTATTGCATATGTGTAGATATCTTATCCGCTTTTGTTTAAATTAATTAATCATATATAATATGGCGTGCCTCTGCGTGTCATGTAATTAAAACTACTAAATAATTAAGAGGTTTTCAATATGGGTTAGTTGGTTTCCAAACTGTGCTAAAATTATAGTTGCTGTTATTTGAAAATTGGTGGCAAAAACTTTTAGTAAGCAGTAGTGAAACCTAACGGTAAAGTTTCTATGAATTTTTGAGTTTTTTTTAAATTTAGCATAGTCTTTGTTTTCGAAAATGATCACTTTCGGGACGTGGTGAATATAGATAAAAATCTCATCACTTCGTGGTGATTTCAATAAGGATGACACAGTATGAACGTAGAGTTTTTATTTTCGAAAATTATTACTTTTCGGGTGTGGTGAATATGGAACAAACCCACCACACTTCATGGTAAATTCATGAAACATTGTGCAGTAGGTACGCAAAGGTTTTATTTTCTAAAATTACCCCTTTTCGGCCGCGATTAATAACGAAAAACTCACTCGAGACTTAATCAATGTGGGTTGAGGCTTCCGAAAGTCAAATATAATTGTTTGAAATACATTTGTCTACTTTTAGGCGGAAATTGTATGTATGCAGGCATATTTTCGCAGAAAAATAATTTATCAATATTATTATTTATTAATTTTGTTTCTTCATATTTTATTAACTAAAATTCATTAAATTCATAAATTTCCAAAATGAGCTAAATATTTTAATAAAGCAGTGAGTACACCTAAATTATAACCATATCCTTGATGTCTAAGCCATGCCCAATTCAGTTTAGGAAATGCGTCAGCTACACAGCCGACCTGCAAAATTATCAAATTTGT